GCACTTTCGAAGGCCTAAGCTGAATCTCAAACCGTGTTGATCATCATCTGCTCTCCCGTGATTGGTTGACACGACAATCGACATCTGAAGATATCAAGAAAATCGTTTCGAAGATAAACCGCGACCGGTATGGCTCAAAAGAATGAAAAAAAAACGTCAGTAGACAATGAATAGATTGTCTACACGTAATTACTATTGACTATTTATATTTATATTCATATTCAGATGCTTCGTACGCTGTAATACATCGAAACTGTAGATGATAAACTTGTTGCGAATTAAAATTTGTCAAACAGTTTCAACTTCGGGTAAACTATAACTAAGTTTTTTTTTCCTGTTGGACAAACTGAAGCCTGAAAATGAACAATTATGGGGCATGTCTAAAGCGGAGCAGATCTCTCGCAATTCCATTGGTCAATTTGCATGACAGCCAATAAAACCGCGAATACGGGATCACGTTCTGCTCCGCTTTAGCCTTTCCCCAATTATGTGATTAGCGTTAGTACCGATACTTTGACATGTACTAGAGCAAAACAACTAAAATGGTGATAGCAAGTGCGGATTAAATGTCAACGACACTTTTATTCAGTACGAACAATGGTCAAAACGCTTTAATCAGACGAATAGAGACTACAAAATGTCAACAATTCAACAATAATGGATAGTGAAAGTCCTGTACTTCCAGAGAAATTTACTTCCGTTCATATATTACGATGTATAACTATTAGGCTATTTTAAAAGCAGGTTCCAGTAGTTACTTATTAAGGTTGGAACGCTACCCGTCTTGATCTTGTTGAATTGGCAACACGAATAGGCCGTTTGACTATTGTTAAAGTAATGATTAGAACATAAACGTGTGCAAATGTAAACTCATTTGTGAATAGCTACCGTCTCTTTAGCATTCCCAAGCGTTTTGGTAAGGAAATGCTTATATCGAATATTGATTGGGGCTGAAAATTATGTAACTATGAAAGCTCGAGTTAGTTTCCTTTACAAAGATTTCGGTGCGGTGGTATCGATTAGAAATTTTTATGAGCGAGCTTACCATTAGAGATAAAATAAGTCATAGATTCCGTCGCGATATAAAGTTGTGCTTACAATTAGACATAAAGACCCAGTGGTGTCTGAGGTCTGCTTACGATCAGGCATAAAACTATGCCGGTTGCGAAAATATATAGTAAATATGTAAAACGTTGCCTGCACGACAAGTATCAGCATAGAAGTAGGAAATGAGCATTTAGTACTTGGACGGAGGAAAAAGGTGTGCTTTTATATAGCATAATTCTAACTTGAATAAACGAGTTGATACCCAATATCGTACCTGGTAATAACTTGTATACGATTACTTGGATTAAGGCCGTTTGTCCGACTACAAACGACCGGCGATACATCTAATGCTAAATGCGCACCAAAACAAATATACATTTGGAATTAGTTCACTGAAGTCTGTGACTACTGGTCGGATTATGTTAAACATCAGGTCAGCAGACTTCTCGGTAATTCTGTTGATGTATATTTGTGGTGGGTCCTCAAGACAGCGATTCAATAATGAAGGAAGTTCTATTTTTATAGGGAAGGGGAATAAGGGGTTTTTTTTTCTGTGGGACAAACATAACGCCACAGTTGATCGTCGGATTTCATTTAATACATGGATTCCCGCACACATGACAAGTCGGTCAATCAGAAGATTTTTGGTAGAGTTTGTAATAACCGTTTTTCTATTTGCGTCAATTAGAAATTTTTACACTGCATTCCAAACGCACTTCACGATTGACGATTTGCAATAACGAAAAGACAGACAAACAAAACATATGTGTGTTGCGCAACACTTGCTGAATGAAACAGATTGTTGCTGTGTACTTTTTATTGGTACCAAAAAATGACAAGATTCTGCCAGTACCTTTTTCCGGGATTGTACTATAATGTTAGATACATTAACACCTACACGCTGAGTGTGAGGCGAAAAATTTATTCAATCTAGATAACAATTGCAAGTTACATGGAATTATTATCAAGTTAATTACATTCCCACGATTTCTAAAAAACAATTTAATGTCGATATCATATTATTATACACTGGATTATTATTGCGATATCAATAGACAACATGTAAAACTAGTGGCAATAGTAATGACGTTCAGCTTTCAACTAATCATGTTATTATGTCACTGATATGTTTTATCCAACATTCTGATTTCCATTCATAACAATTATAAATAATAATAATAAATGATGATAATACGTAATAAACCTCCCAGGAAAAGTAACCGTCATGAGTTTCTACAGTGATTGAACCGCTCGATATCTTTATCTCATGCATCACACCGTTCTATAAAATAGAAAGAACCAGAAAATACTGTAAATTTAACTTTGCATGATATTAATTGAGTTATTATCAATGAACAATTATAATTACCCTTAATAATTCCAATCAATATATTCGAAGCGAATATGGCAGACTACATACAGGCAAGCCAATGCAGCAGCTATCTCAAATATGGCTACTGGTCACGAACCAACTTTATCCGCATTTTTGTGCAATCTCATATTAATATGCCGTTCGATTTTAATCCGTTCTGCGAGACTGCCAGTAAGCACGCCCTTCCCCTTCCCATCACACCACATTAGATTATGTGGCCAAGTCACTCCTGCGTCATATAATACAATTTGTTAGCGTTCATAATCTTGTGAAATTTTATATTCAAAATAACAAATAGTAACTCAAATATTATTTGCACGAAAATTACTACTAGTGTATATATAATCATAGCCCACTCAAATTCACTCTTGAGGTTCAGCATTTTTTACACTTACATCTTTCATTTTTTGCTTTGCCATGCAGACTCAGCCCCTTAAATAAATGTATAATAATACATACAAGATTTAATATTAATACAAATACTGTCAAACTGATATCCGGAAAACCGATAATTCATATAACATCGCGCAATTCCAATAATCGGTATTATTTTGTTCACATCATATAATAATAAGAATTAGGGCTCGATAACCGATATAACCAATAGTAAAGCTTCATCTGTTACAAAATATCAGGTATCGTTTAATTAAAAATCTATTTGACAGAATATCAGAGATAGTACTTTGTCTTACACAATACTCGATCGCCAAGTCAGCTTGAAAAGGTTTTGGTTTTTTGTAACATTTTTCACATATCTCACGCTTCTGAGCAAATGTCACGTTTTTACGTTTACAGTTAATTGTGAGTTGCGACAAGAATTTCACAGTTCCTGTGAATTCCAGTGTTAATAGTTAGCATTAGTATTAGCGAATTTTTTAATTACTATATGCTTCCACTGCGTGCGTCTGTATCGGTTTCCAAAAACATACCAGCAAATTTAAAATTCATTGCATTTGAAATGGCTTGATAGCAGCTCTATAGTAATAGTCCATGAATTTTCACAGATGTATCAGCAGTATCATCCATAATATGATATTGATATCCTGTCATTAAAACACAAATAATTATTAACATATGATCATTAATATGCAAACAAAATAATACAGACATACAACTTCTGTAATGTACTGAGTCCAAAGGAAATCCGGTTGGAATGTCTTCATGAGAATGATGGTAGTGTAAGTGCCATCAATTGAAAATTGAGCATGCCATTGGGACATTTGCAAGCACATACTTAATGTAATCCAGCTGTTGTTCAGTTGATGTAGATTTATTATTATTAATCGTGAAAATAATGTTTGTATTTGTGGTAGGTGGATTAATAAAAAACAACAAAAGTTACATACCCAACAAGCCTCTGGTTTCAGGTGGTATCATGGCTTTGTTAGATCCACCGAATGACTATTGTGTTGGATTGTGTGTGGGATGCGAACATTTCGCCCCACCCAGTTTTCTGACGAGTAGCTGGAATATCTGTTGATGCCGACGCATCCTTGAGTTTCTTCCTCTTTAAAAACCTCAACATAAACATAATCATAATGAAATTTCACCCTGAATACAAATTACGTAATAGTAACACAACTAAACAAACTGACTAATAATATCATCCGCAGATCAAAATTCTATCCCACAATCTTCGAACGCTACAGTTGCTGCCAAGACGCGATCAACGCATTCCCCCAACCACTTACTAACTTCATTTCTCAACTTCAGTCCGGCAAACGCTCGTCTCGTATTGAAATTAAGCGGACGTCTACTACATCAATGGATTGTAGTCATAAATGTACTGTATTCGAAAACTTCCAACAAATATGTGTGGACTGTGGGGGTGTGCTGACCGACGTTTTATTTGGCACACAGGCGCTCGATGGAGCAACCGATTATGGCTCAGGATTGAACGACTATGGTAAATAGTATGAGACTTTGATACTAGAGAAACATCGCAAAGAGGATGTTTTGGGAGGGTGAGGTGTTGTTGTTTTCGTTATTATTATAGAGTGGGGTTGTCATATACATGCATCATCGATACATTATAATAGATCTTTATTAGGTAATGGAAGTACATTCAACCTCGCAAGCGAGGAAGGATTATTTACTGCATCAACTGTGGACCATTATTTGTCTAAAAGATATCGATCGGAAGCTAGATCTAAATTTTTCGAGGTAATCAGCAATTATACCTTTTCTTTTACGAGAGTGTGTCGGCATTCATTGATCTATTAACATTTTTGTTTTTGTTTGCTCTCTCGTTTCTTTATTTTTCTTGTCCCATTACTGTATCCTAGTATTACAAGAAAGCGGAAGTCTTTTGTTCAGCGCTTCACATACAATCTCTTACCGAGAGAGTGAAATACATTTTAAAAATTTATCTTACGAGAACCACTCAGTTAAAACGGCGTACAGAAATCAATGTCGTTGTTGGAGCAACAATAGTTTTTGCTGTGAGAGAGAATGCCATTGCTATTACTTTGAACGAAATAGCTGTAAGTTGGGAATTTTATTAGCGATTCTATTATTTTAAAGTGAGCGAAACAATTTTCTTTGAAAATTGAACTAATTACAATTTAATGTCCCTGTACTATACATTCTTTTCCGTACACGTAGGAAGTAACAGGCACGACAGTTCCAAATCTCTCATCAACAATCCAACACATTCGAAATTACGTTCCTGAATTTACCATTCAATTGATTGATACCGAAAAAATTCTAGAACGAGTAATAGATTCAATGTTCACGCCGGTCGAACCGCTGCAAGTACCTCAATCGCTTCAAGAACCACAACAACCCGACTCGGCTTCCATGCTGACGACTGCCACACAACCTTCGAAAATTTTTCTTCCGATCTACACAACCGAATCAGACTTAACACATCTTTATGACGATATAACAATGTTCTACGACGACACGTCCATACCCGCAATACCAGGCTTATCACCCCTGATGACTCTTTACAAGAAAATCCTTCTTGTTGTCTCACGTGCTGTTCTTTCTTTTGCTTACTCATCTTTGCTAACCACTGGCCGCCAGCCCATCCCTGTACTTGCTGCAGTTCTTCTACTCTCAATCGAAGCAATCGAGAAACCCAACTCGGCTGAACGTGCCAAAAATCACAAATTGGCCGAGTCCTATGTCGCTGCTATGCATGGTATCAAGCCAGAAACGGTCATGATTACGAGGTATAGAGAATTAAAGCAATTGTTATATCCGCAGGTGTTGAAGTTACCTTGGGCAGTGCTTGCTCATGAAACATTTACGAAAGGGTACTTGTATCTGATCGATTTGGTGAAATTTAAAAGTTTATTAGAAAAGGATGTAGAGGAGGGTGACGGGAAAGGAGAGAGAGATGTAAGAGGGAAAGAGAACGAAAAGGATAAGGAGAAAGAGAGGGCTTCATTATTGAAGAAACATCCACCGGCATATAATCGTAGTGAGACATTGAGAAACAAGCGTATTAGTAAAGTGCAAAACGCTAAGAAAATACTTTCTCAACATTACAAGGACAACGGAAGTAACAACAACACATCCACAAACACACCACCTCTTTCTCCAATTACTGCCTCCACAAACGATCCCGAACTTAATTGGATCTTGATTATTCTCCAATCCAAAACTCACAGTGAACAAGAGATTATCGATGCATCCAAGGGACTGTTACAATTATGGGCGAAGTCTGTGAATAGGATGGATGAAAGCGGAGATGATGGAGAAGAAATAACGGAAAAGGATTTGAGCATTGACGAGGAGAGGGAGTATTTAAGAACGAACGCTGAGGTTAGCATGATCAACTGATTGGGTTTACGGGAACGTACACTTGATGCTCCGTGAATTTAACTGTGTGTGCCTCTTTTCTTTTTCTTTTTTTAATGTAGATTGCAGTTATCAGGTCTGTTCGCAACCAGTATGAGATGGATCTACGCAAGGGTAATGGTATATCTATTAATGAAGAACGAACTTCTCCTGATGATGAACTGGTGGATGTCGGAGAGGACAATGATAATAGTAATGACGAGATAAGTGCTAGTGATAACGCAGCTGAAAAATCTCATAGATCTGTTAAAATATTACGAAATGTTGACGACATTGACATGAATAAATTCGACCATATTTGAGAGGAATATTAAGAGAAATCAGTCCGACGTTGCGTTGTTAAATGCACGTCTTATACTGCATACTCTATATATAATGCTCTTCACACACTATCTTTCACTGTCAAAGTGTTCATTGATGTATTTATTTTTTTTAAACCAAATATTACAGAATTAGTGCTTATATGTAGATAAATTTAACAGGAAATTTACACATCCCAACACCAAAAACATATATATAATATATATATAAACCCAAAGATTACAATCCCGTGATAGATAATATGTATATGGTTATGTATATAGCATAAGGTGAAAATGAAAATAAGAATAGAGAAAATTACAAATCTATGTCCGAGGACAGGAGAGAAAAAAAAAATATTACAAGATGGCTTACACTGACGTGTGTATAAAGATGGATTTCTTTCTACATGAGGAAAAAAGGGGCGCATTTAGCTTGCGAGGAAAGATTGATGGCTGAGCAAAAATACTCGCACAGCGTATGTATTCTAGAAAAGTCAAGTACAATCAATCTAACCGAACGACCATATAGCTAGGAAACCATCATTAAATCTATCGCCTCGTTAGCGTAACCGTCTATATTCACATTCTAATATACTATTTTCTACATTCGTTTTACAGCATCCCTACTTCTGCTCACTTGCTCGCCTATTGCCAGCATTCCTTGCGCCGCGTCCACCACGTCCATACGATTGGTTTAGTGACTGTCCAATCGTTTCTATTGCGTTCGAAGACATTGAATCAGTGTTGGAGGATGTCGAGTTGGAAGACTGTACATGGGTAAACTGGTTCGATGCCATATTATTGTACACTGATGGCGTAGTGAATGGATGCGAGGGCTGTGTGTTATTCGTCGTTGTCATCATTATTAGGGAAGTAGGTTGAGAACGAGCATAAGATGGGGAATTGGTTGCGTTCTTATTGATAGTCTTACTGAAGTTATTATTACTAGTATTGTTGTTGTGGTAAGGTGCAGGTTTTTTGATAGCATTATTAGGATACGATATGTAGTTTCCATTCGAATGTAATGAAGACTGAGATGTGGATGTCTCGTCTCTTCTAATGCTATTCTTTTGAGCAGACCCATTCCGTGCGTTCTTCTTCGCACGCCGTTTACTTTTTCCTTCCGTCCCCTGACCTCTAGGCTGGTTTCCATCGTTATGTTCATTTGGTCTTCCACCTCCTTGGCCATTATTATTGTGTCTCCGCCCATTTCCAATTGCCAGATTGACCATCCGCGAACTATCAGCGGTACTATTTACAAACACATCTTCTGTGTGTGCAGATTGGTGATCAGAGGAAGCATTGTTATTGATGTCAACATTATCATCTATTATTGAGTTCCGTGCAGATGATAGGAGCAAGGGCATATGTTGGTCGGGTGCAAATTGCTGTATATTTTGGCAGAAAGACTGTGCCGAATTATGCGCATTAAAATTGCTGCTGTTGTTACTGTTGTTAGCGTTATTTCCTCGTCGCCCGAAATTATAAACATCTCGCTGATTCATCGCAACACGACCGTTCCCTCTATCTTGCTTCTTGGAATGATTAATGTCACCTTTTTGTATTCCTTGACCGTCATTACCGTTATACCGATTCCCCGATACTTCATACGAAGGAGAATTATTTGGAGCACTTTGAACATTCACGTCGGCCTGGACGGAGTTGTTGACAGAATACTGTGAGTAGGAAAACGTCGAACCCGTGGGAATATAAACGAGTTCGTTGTGGTTGCCGTGTGCAAAATTGCCAAGATTGCTAGTAACATTAACCTTGTTCTGAGTGACATTATTGTAATAGTTGTTGTTCTGACTGTTATTATTTTTATTGTGAGACCATTGGTTCCTTTTTTTATTCTTGTTTCCACCAGTATTGTTTCCCATCTGTTGCTGGCGTCCATTTTCACTCTGGCCATGTTGGCGTTGACCGCATACGCCGTTTTCAAAATTATTATCTCTTTCTTTCTCACTTGCCCTCCCTATTCCATTCTTTTTCTCTCCCGCATTTCCTTTTTTTCCCATATTATCTACATTTTTTCTTTTTCCACCCGCATTCGTATTCGGCCCTGCAATTCCGTTTCCGTTTCCGTTATCGCCATTTCTACTATTCAAATCTTCTTGATGAGGGTATGATACTGACGGTAGCACATATCTTGCTTTCACGTACGTGGTAGATGTCACTGGCGCGGCAGATGATGGAGATGTCGTGGATGGATTGGGACGTGGAGAAAAGTAGATGGGAGACGTAGGATGACTTGTAGATGAATAAGCTGGAGGCTGGATCGGATGTAGCGCAGGTTTAACTTGCTTATAATTCGTGCCCTGTGCTGATGAAGAGGGGTGAGTTTGCGTGGTTGTAAGAGATGGTGGTGCGTTTGTGTAGGTATTGGCGTGAACATGTGTACTAGGATTGCTATGGCTGTGTATGGGGTTCTGATAGTTATTAGAATACCCATAGTCACTATTATTATTACCGCTGCTATTATTACCGCTACTGTTATTCTTGCTGTAATTCCCCATATTCCCTCTTCCACTATTACCGTTGCCATTATTTCCATTCGCTCGCCATTGCTCAAATAATTGATTCTCTTCCCTTCCATTGTTTTCATTGGTGCTTTTCTCACCTTTCCCGATTCCGAATTTCATTCCGGTAGGTTGCTGCTGTTGCTGTTGTCGATAATTATGAAATTGTTGGCGTTGCTGCTGCTGCTGTTGATGTTGCTGCTGTTGCGGCTGCTGCTGTTGCTGCTGCTGCTGCTGTTGATGTTGCTGCTGTTGCTGCTGCTGCTGCTGCTGCTGTTGCTGGCCCGTCATTACCCCACCTGATCTTCTTCTACTTATAGATGGCTCGTCTGTTTCGTTACTCCTCTGATTCGTTTGTACAGACGGCGTGCTCATTTGTGGTGTTCTTTGTTCATCGTGAAAGGGCATATGAGCAGAATACGGACGCTTTGGAGGAGCAGATAACGTTTGGGTCTGAAATGGGGTTGTAGGAAACGTGTTATGACCGTAATGTTGTTTCTGTTCATTGAGAGAGGGCGTATGAGAATGGGAATAAACGGTGTCCTGAATATTGGAAGCATTGTTGTTCTGATCAAAGTTATTGCTATGCCGTTGATTACTCTCACATCCATTTGTATTGTATACCACGTATGCTCCCTGCTCGTTTCCTTTTATTCCTTCCTTTTGTTGTTGTGTATGATACCTATTATTATGTTCTGCATAATTATTCCCATGCTGAATTGAATAACTCAACCGTCGCTGTCCTTGATTGTTCTGGTTTTGTTTATGATGCTGTTGGTTATTCCTTCGATTTTGACCGTTCGATTGCGTGAGCTTTTGTTTATTAGGATGCGACTGTTGTCGTTGTCTTTGATCGTATCGATTATGGTTATTGGTGTTTTGAACGTTGTTGTTATGCAAATTATTCCTATTGGGTGCATTATTGTGGCCATTATTTCTGTTGTTACCGGCGTTGTTGCCGGCGTTGTTGTTCGCCTTGTTATTGTAGTTGTTTTTATTGTTCTTGTTCTTGGTGTTACTGTTGTTGTTGTTGTTGTTGTTGTTGTTGTTGTTGTTGTTGTTGTTGTTGTTGTTGTTGTTGTTGTTGTTGTTGTTGCTGTTGTTGTTGTAGTTGTTGTAGTTGTTGCTACTGTTGTTGTTATTGCTATTGCCGTTGTTGTTGTTCTTGTTGTTACCGTTAATGCTCTTGTTGGAATTTCGACTATTGTACTTTTGATTCTGTCGATAGACTGGTTGACTATTTTGACCTTTTTGATGATAATAAGTATACGATACCCCGTTCCTGTTATCCCCATTTTGCTGTTCGTTGGTTCTGGTTATCCTTCCGGTCATTTGCATTGAATCTTGTTTCGATTCGCGCTTTTGAAACTGAGATGTTTTCTGACTTTGATAACTAACATTCGTATCTGTATGCTTAAATAAAATGTCTTGCTCTTTGTCTTGAGATTTTTCCGGTGCAAAGTATTGAAATTCCAACACATTGTCGTCTTGTCTATTGAACTGATTTTTACCGTTCCAACCCTCATCTTTTGCGTACTGCTGAATGTGACAACTACCATCGACGATTTCCTCATGCTCACATTCGATCTCACTTTCGTATTGCATGCTCTGATAACTTCCTTTCCTACTCACTGATAACTCAGAAGTCTGATGAGAAGAAATATCCAGTTGAGTATCTGATTGTGTATCGAAATGCATGTCCAAGTGTCGGGTCTCGTCGTTATTCTGCAGAAATACAGGACTCGGAGTACTGGTAACACTAGCGACAGAAGTGACAGTAGTAGCGGTACTGGTGACGCTATCTTCAATCTGTTTTTTTTCTGATTCTAAATCTCCCCCATCGAGCTTGCTATCAGAAGTATTATGAAAACTCCAACCGTTCATATATCCATCTTTATACGCATTTGTGTTATCATTTTGTCTATTCTGCTGTCCATATTGATATCCATAATGATATCCGTTATATTTATTCCAATAGTTATTCTGTTGTTGCCCTTTCTTCATGCCACCACTCGCGCTACTGTTCCATTTTCCTCTACCTACCCCTGGATACCATCCATATTCTCCTTTTGGGGGAATATACTGCTCACAACACAGATCCAGACTCACATTCTCATATAACTTGTTACAAGCGCGACGGAACTCTCTTATTAATCCATATACACACACAATGTCCGCACTGTTACCTAGGTTACGTGAAGTATTGAATGGTTCTTCAACACAGAGTAATCGCCAATCAGGACCCACATGCCAGCCCTTGGATTCCTTTGTGAGATATTTTCCATGACGCAAAGATATCACATGATGTTGATAGTCAAATTCATACGCAAACCTCCTGAAAAATGCGAACAATAATCCTCCAAGAGTCTCCCGATTAGGAGCCCCGAAATCCTTAAAACGCTCAACGTCCTCACAAAACGCTGCATTTTCTCCATTGACCATTATCGGCTCTCCTTTGGGTGACATTTGATGAAGAACGGGTAAAATGGGAGGCTCGCGCATTTGGAGAAAGTTAAGGACCATACATGTCCATGTATATGTGGACAAAGTGCCACCTTTTGCAGCGTCATTTAGTACACGCTTAGCTGCCCAATGCCTGACTATCATGGTAAGAGGACGTACACGCTGGTCGATGGAAACGTATGTTTTGATTAGGCGAGTGTTGTGTAATGCTAGTGTGTTATTTATGTTCATATCGCAGGCTAGTCTCCTAGTAGTAGAGAAAAAAGAAATAAAGCAAGATGGTTCGTATAAAGATGACTTGGATAGACAAATAGCCAAAAGATTAGTTATATACATACGTCTCTGAATCCCATAATCGAACTATTGGAACTTTTGCCTTTGGAACTGTGACGACTTCGTTTATGTTATCTGTCGCAAGAAAAAGACCCGTTTTAGCGTATAATGTTTTAACAACAGTCATTCATCCATGGCGACTTTGCATTTAGTCAAATTGTTGACGAAAAAATGAGGCGGCGTAAAGAAAAAAAAAAAGTCGTCTACGCTTGGTCTCCGCTTGGTCTCCGCTTACACACCAATTCCATTTTTCTCCACTTACGTTTTTTCAATATTTTTGCTAAGTTTTGCACGCTCTTCAATTCTGGAGAAGTGGTAGTGATGCATAAATCTACGTCTGATGATAGCGTGCCAAGGTCATTTACTGACGATCTAGGAGAAGGCGAAGGCAAAAATGTGAGGGAGGGAGGAAATTGAAAAGTAAAGTAAAAGATCGAATCCGAAGAAAAAGTAGATGATAATTGTGGGGGATAAAATCTAAAATCTAATACGCATTATTTAAAATGCGCCATTTGCGAAGCCAGCCATGTTCTCTCCAAAAAAAATTTTTCTAATGACACCAACGCTCTAACCATGTCAAACCCCCCTGGTCTTTTTCCTACCCAAACAAATGTACATCAACATCATGCCCTTGCGACTCTTCTTTTAACATTCGTCTTATCTTTTCGACAAATTCTAATCTTCGTTTATAACTCTCTTCTGTTGGAAGTAGCTCCTGCGGAATGAAGGCGATTATGATGAGAAATGGAGAAATTGAACTTGAAAAATTTGACGTAAAATCAAATCTCGTTTTTTCTATTTAATTGAACGAATTGACAGAATAGTTTTCTCTTGTTCTCTCTCTAATCACGTATCGTCACTGAATACCGCATCGATCCCCCGGTATCATTCAGAATTACTCACCTCAAACAAATTCAGAATATCGATTGACAACTGATCTGATGCAGTTACAGGCAATGTAATTGGAAGTTCTATTAAATTGTTCCCATTTGTACAGACATTATCATTATTGCCATGTAACTGCCCATCCTTTTTATCTCCAATACTCTCATTACAATCATTACCAAGTCCCGCGGTTTCGAAAGAATTAAAAAGTTGCAATTGAGTTCCTGGTATAATCAAGACATTGTCTTTGATTGAAGAGAGGTTCATATAAGAGGCCTGCTCTTGGGCTATTATGATGCCGTCGTGAGGAAATCGAGAGTTGCGATTAGAGTAAATGTACGGCATCTAGATTGTCGAGAGGTAGATGGTAAAAATAAATTAAGAATCGTATAGGAGCGCGTGAGAGGTACGACCAACGTTAGATACAAAACAAAGTCGAACAAGTGAATTGAAGGTGGAATCGCTTGTTGTTGGGTGATATCTTGTGAGTTTATAACGGCTTTTCTGCGGCTCTTTCGACTTTTTGCAGGCATGAGACCTCTTTTTGCTTGATTGTCTTACCTGCGACACCGATTCTTTGGTATATCGTTAATGGTTTCTGTAAACACTTTCAATATTTATCGTTATTTTTCTATGCTCTATCTTTATATATATATGTATAACTGACCACACAAGTCAAACTATCGTCAATGATAGACTATAACTTATAATGAAAGGCGTAAAAAAGAAAGAAGACGTCTCCAGTAATAAAGGTCAGCAAAGCGCTTATCTTCTTGGAGCGGACAGTTTAAAGAGTGGAGTTAAGTGTTGTCAAGTTGAAGATTTGTCTAGAAAGTGATAAGGCTGTACCTGGTAGATAAGCTGGGCACCGGCGGGGTGACTAAATGTGATGTTTGCGGAGTTAATAATTGCCGACCAGAGCATTAATAATGATGGTAAAATATAGAAATAACAATGTAATGCTAAGGCGATGATAACAATGATGACATGATAACCACGATAACCATAATAATATTAATAACAATGGTAACGTATTATTACACTATAGTAATTACCATTATTGTTGTTGCTTTGATAATATGATACTGCGAATAATGTTAACTGACGGTAATAATAATGTCGTATGAAATTAATAATTACGCAGCGAAATTAACCATTGTTATTGGCTATATCGAACTCGTCAGTTACTGTTTACCGGTGAACTACTTTAAACTCGTTTGCTACATTGTTTTGCTAAACTCAAATCATGTAAAATACTGTTTGTGGTACAGATCACAACCGCTAAAATTAATGATGACGGTAATACAAACAAATAAGCAACATAAATTTGACCGAAATAATGGACGTCAGCTCCTGTCTACTGAGATAATATATAAGCCTGGTCTGTGCCTTACGCACTTATTTAAACTATTGATCATATCTCGATAATAGGATGTTATATCGAACGTCGCTATAGTCTTTTCTTTTTCGCAATAGTCTACCTAAAATCAACTTCTTGACGTAATTTCTTGGATAAGATCTGATACACTGCAGTGCCAAAGTTTCCTATCTGGTCAGTGGCTGGGGGACCTGTAAAGCCTGGTTACCTGTATTGTGTTATAGACAAAACTTGTCTGCATGAATTGGCATAACGTTTACGCTTACCCAATCAAATAGATTTTTCGCATTAGAGATACCTTTGGTTCTTATGTGAGATGTAAAGAAGATCACATTTCCAAAGGATTTTTCTATTTTGCGTGCACAGTCAGCAGAAATGCCGGGAAGAAAAAGACGCCTTACCTTTTTAGTAATGACTGCTGAATTGATTTCCGGATTTTGCTTTTGCATCACTATGCAACTGCGTGATGATATAATATTAACGCACAACTGGTTACGCTAGCTCATAAAGTAGATAATGTGATATTTTTATTCTAGTGAATAAATATGTAAGGGCAAAGTGTGACGTTGCATACCGGTCAGGCAGTTTGGAATATATAAGTATGCGACAATAGAAACATATTAATTTTTATGCATGACGGAAACTAGACTATTTGTAACTTTTTTCCGCAAGGTCTTTATTCAGTCAGACTTGTTTATTTATTGCGCAAGTTTGTAATGCAATAACAGCACTTTCAATAAGGTTTAGGGATAATATAAATACGTAAGTTTCTCAAGGTTTCGAACGGTTGGATGTTTAGTTTGGTAGTACGTCAAACAAGGACATGCATCGGAAAAACCAATTGACGATTTACTGTTACGATCACTGCCAAATGTATCAACAATATGAAGGTCAAAACTGCGTATAGCATCTTACAAGCAGCGCCATATAATCGTAGATGAGGAGATATAACATCATTTTATCTGTTCATTTATAAAAACTGCGTAAACGGGGATCGTTCATAATCGGCCTATTTACGCTGAACGTCAAATTCAGTGTTTCAGTTGCAATGACCGCTCCGTCTATTTGATCTTCGAGACACGACGATCGCTGACCGAAACAAAAAACGATTTGTGATCTGCAATCTGCAATGCAAGCTAATCGTCTGACTTATTATCCCCCTTCTCCCGCAAAAGTATTGTTCCTGACTCTATCATGTCACCCGGACGCACTATTAAAGACTTTCTCAAATGATACGACTTGATATTAAAAAATCATGAACTTTTAAACAGATTTCTTACAGACTGTAAATACTGACCGTTGCGTCGGTAAAACTACATAATAAGAATATCTGAATAATTAAACAATTAACATTTAGGCTGAAACATACGCTTAAACGCAAATCTGATAATAATGTCTTGGTTTATCAAATACTACTCTATTTGGACGCAACACCAGAAAGAGGAAAAAACAGACCGAATTTTTCAAAAACTTTTTTTTTTGCACCGATTGCGAAAAGGCTACATTGAAGGCGATTGGTTTATTGACCAAAAGAGACTTAATTTAAAATTAGTACTATTACAAAGCTATTGTAGGTGATGCATGTTATACAAACACAAGCCACTCATACATATATTTATATATAATTTAGTACGTGTTACCTATCATGTAGGTTAATTATTATATTGGGCCGCTTTGGGCAAACGCTATGCAACTAATTAACACTATAACGGTATCTATCAAAAAAGTTATTTCGCTACCATCGCTTTAATTAGGAGTTTGAACGGCTGATAGTGACATTCATCAATTATGACCAACAATATCCCGTCTTGCAACTGTTTGAAATTAATATAGCGTTAAACAAAAAATGAAAAGGAAAAAGAAAGCATTATGACCCATTGCGATCAAACAAAGCCAACATTAAATGTAAGAGAACCACACGCATTTCGAGAATAATTATGAGATAAACCCGATATGTCAATTTGTTTTTCAAAAGTTGTGGCATCGGTAACCCTCCCGCTGAATACTGCAACAAGCCGTATCACTGTTGGCATAAAATAGACTGGTTCACATAAACAAAAGATTAATAAGATATATACTGAATGTGCACAATGGTATATAGAAAAGATACTACGCTCCTTTGACTTGGGATTTAGGTCTACGTGTCGGTCATCACAGACATGTACTGGTTACGGAGAAAGTATCCATGCTGTTTTTTAATGAGAAAGCGAGAATTTATAAGCAAATACTTTGGCAATAAAGAATAGACCATATATTAAGTAAAACAATGTTACAAGACACAAGATAAGATAAAGATAGCTTTACTGGAATTATTTCCCGACACGGATAATCAATTGTACAAAGTTAAATCATAGAATTCTATTAAGAAAATATTATTTTATCTTTGTTTCAATATGAATAACCGGTTTAATAAACACATTAGCCGCATTGCGGGACACGAGCCGTTTTATTTCGCCGAAAATCGGGATTGTACTTAAAATAAAGTCGAGTAGTTGAAAAAATGACCTTAACAACAAGAACTATTTTTTATCAATTAGAAGACTTACATGCCTCATCTTTGAAAAATTGAATAACATAACCAAAAGTTGCTGGTTCGCTTAAACTTGCATCCACCGTGGGCACCAATAACTGTCCACATTGGAAAACATTTAGCCTTTTTTTCTGAAAAGTCATGTTAGAGTTTTAATGGGAGAAAATGGGTACAAATTCAGTATTATGTAACGTTGCAAATGCGCAAAGGTTTCTCGTATAATTTTACTAATTAATTATAATAATCTTCACCAATGATTTGGTTTGTCCAAAACTTTCGGTAATGCATGTTAGCAAATGTTCTTCCACTAAACGTGCACGTCTATAAGCAAATAATTAGCTAGCTTCGGCTTTGTACTAATATATGTCAAATATTTCAGTCACTAATTGGCAGTTCGCCTCCCCAATCGGTCCATTTTTCTCTATCTGCACTTGCGGTACTCTGTCGCTTCGGAACTAAAGAAAAAAAATTAATTAGACTTTTTTCTTTACAAGATGTATAATTTCAGAAAGTTTTTACGTGATAGACTCACCAAGCGGGGGTACGTCCTAATTGCTAGCACTATGTCGTTCCATAAAGTACCATCACCGATTGATCCCGCAAATTCAGAATTGAAAACTGAGATTTTTCATGTATCGCTCAAAAAACATCGACATTCAGTGCTTTGAATAGGACAACACGAATTTTGCATTCGTCGAGTTTCCCATAGGTAAAGAACTTAGAAATCATTTGTCGAGCTGGTTCTTAAAATTTAGAGAATTGAGATTCACGTTGTATCTTTAAAAGAACACCACCATAACTTGTGTATAATTTTCGGGGTAACTTTCGTGGTTTTCTCATATATCATTAATTACTTGGTTGGCAAGTACAGAGGGAACTTTACGTCAATTTGGAAATAGAGACACTTTCTAAATCTTTACGCAATTACAAGAAGAGATTATTTGGGAATCATATTCTAATAGAATTAAATCAAGATAATGTACTGTAGTGATACTGTATATGTTATATTTTACTTCAAGTTTCGACTGTAATTGGCTTTGATTTGTTCTGAATAAAAGTTTACTTTTATTTCGTACGAGAAAATATGCCAGGATATCGCAAAGCAGCAAAAAATAGCGTTTACTGATTATAAATATTACTAAGCGTTGTTTAAAAATAGTTTGATTAGTAGCACCATTATTCGTGTTTATGTTTGAAATGTTAGACTCTTCAACCACATGTCATGGAAGATTTTGATGCTTGATGTCCACTCTGCTGTAATACAGACATACAAAAATTGGGCTTTGCTTTTTTGCCATCTCTTGGATTTCTGAGTAAAAGTGTTTTGAGAGTTTAAGTTATCCTCCATTGAAAACTTGTTTTGCATTCTCCTCATGTGGTATTAGTATTCAACACAACACTGCACATGAACCAAATCTAGTAATATCATCAACATTGGGATGAATTGTGTTTGCTGGGATACAGTCCTGTATCAAATCCAAATATTCTTTGCTCAGAGATTCCTTTAGTATCAGTATTAGGACGGATGAATGTACACAATAAATGCTCATGATTATGATTAAAGAATGTTTAAATTACTATTACTATACTGATAATAATAATTTGCAATGCAGTTTCATTATTTGTATCTGCTACTATTACTCACTATCAGGAATGTTGAAGTGACCCCAATGGATTTGTTTATTGCAACAAAAAAAGTCACACATATGAATATTGAGAACGGATCAAACTGAATAGATCCAATGGATTTTGGCTCATTGGCAACAAAAATTGTTAAAGAAATATACTGGGCATTGAAAATTTGTAACTTGATAGTATCGCACAAAATTTGGTTAAACTGCCTTTTGATTCAATTCTCAAAAGAATGTGCATGACTCCTCAATGGTTTCCTGATAATCAGGAGAGATGTAACAATACAGAATTCCTCTCTTATAATAATGATTTACAAAGAAGGCTGGATAAAATTTTTAACTTTTGATAGATAACATCTGTCAAATTTTATATTGAATATCAAATATCAAATGCATATCTTCATCTGGGATGCTTACTATCAAAATGTGTAGGTGAGACTGGCATTCATATTCAATGAGATATAGATATAAGTAATAAGATAGTATCCAAACATTCATGTCATCCTGCTGAAGAGTTCTTGTGGAGATGTTCCAGAATAAGAAATTATGTATTAGTATAAACATTCAGACTATTTTACTTTTTCAATACAGTCTTGTTTATGAAAACCAGTTCATTCATGGAGAATGTATGAGGAGCATGGAAAATTAAAATATCTGGGTTTGTATTACACACTGTGCTCTCAGAGCAATCTCCAAACTTGTGGTTTTGCTACTGTTTGATAACAGTAACATTAACTTTAAAAATAGCAAGGCTAAATACAATCACAGAAACCTGATATTACTTTTAATTTCCATATAATAAGAGTAATGTCTTATTAGATAATGTTTAAAGCACTAATACCAATATAAAGATAATGCTTTTAAAAGCTTTTATATAGTAATAGTTAATTTATTTATTTAAAAAATTTTTTTCAAACACATATTATAACTTAATTATCCAAGCTGGTTAGTCTAATTTTGATTGATGATAATTACTAAAATGCATTTTCTACATAATATTAAAACATGGCACGATTCACTCATTTGTAATCAGCTGATATTAACTGGTGCAACATTTAAACATTTAAATACGCGTACACAATATAAACGCGATATCTTCAACTGTCGCTGCTGCACCAATTCAATGAGAATCATGATCGATGCGGAGTTAACGCACTTACTGACTGCCCTTATGACAAAGAGCTCACATGTCCTATTAGATGGTAACAAGTGTATTATTGACGGTACGGTCCTCGAATATACGGATCAGGGCTGGATCACATCAACATTAGCTCCATCCTCACCATCGACTCCAACAGTCTCCTCACCATCAACTCCGACGGCCTCACCGTCAATCTCCTCCTCACTCTACGAAATTTCTACCAAGTTTGATATATTATTAGAAATCATACGACAACAACAGCAACAAAGCCAACAGCGGCGACAGCAACGACAGGAACGATATCAACAGCAACAGGAGCAACAGGAGGAGCAGCAGCAGCAACAGCAACAACAACAGCGAGAACAACAGGAGCAGCAGCAACAGCAGCAGGAACAGCAGCAAGAACAACAACAACAACAACAACAAGAACAACAACAAGAACAACAACAAGAACGACAACAAGAACGACAACCACAACAACAACAACAACAACAACAACAACAACAACAACAACAGAAACAGCGACAGCGACAGCAACCGCAACGACGGCAACAACGGCAGCGGCAACAGCGACAGCAACAACAGAGACAGCAACAACAGAGACAGCAACAACAGCGGCAACGACAACAACTGCAACAACGACTGCAACAACGACAGCAACCGCGAAGACGACCAAAGCCAAGATCACGCCAGACCGAGCTTAGGCTTCAGCTGAGGAAGTATTTCCAACAGGTATTGCGGGCCCCTGATGTAGAACGAAATGAAGAGCTTCCAAAACTTCCAAGAGAAGACTATGAATTTGACGAAATAGTAAGATTATTCGACTCTACTTACCAAAAATTCGAAGCTGCACTCAATTCAGGAAACCATAAGGAGAAAAATACAGCGTTGTTCATGAACGGGTTGATTCTGGATGAAATTGCCAGAAACCACAACAGAGTACGAGGAATAGGAAACAAGTGTTCAACAGCTTATAAACGGGGGGCAAGAAAATATTATCAATTTGTCCGGGAGTTTGGTAATGTTAAAGCGTTGAACGAGCCGTGTTCACATTACGCGTTTAGCACTGTAACTGAGGAAATTTTCCAAGAACTTCTCGAAGAAATGCATGGTGGCAACATGAGCATAAAGGAAGAGGGTGGACGCGAAGATTATGATAGCTCAGCAGAGGAAGGTGAAACTGAAGGGGAAATTGAAGACGATGAAGATGATAGTAGCGTAGACATGCTACTACATGACGACTATTAGACTCTTTTTTTTTTATTCAAATTATCTTTAGCCTTGGTTTGCAAGATTACATTATTAGCGATGAATTAGATCATTCCAGCGACAGATGAAATAGTAACAGCCGACTTTGACGTAACCGAATTAGATTGCTTCAACGTTATTTATATATGCACGCAAAAGCGATGCATTTTGGAATAAATAAATAAATAAATAGAATTGCATAGCACGATAGACAGACTACTGGCGAACATCCTGTGTGAAATACCATTAGTCATTGTTAACTACCGCGAGCAAGTTAAGACAACGGTTTACTATAAGTAACGACTCGATGATGTTTTGGATCGCCGCGTTTTTGCGGTAGAAGCGTCAGGCGTTCTTCAGTCCATGCTTGAAAGGTCTCATGATCGCTCCATCTGTGAATGGTGCTCATGGACATTCCATATCTTGTTCGCGGTTTTCAGCTATCTGTTGCATTAATTCAGTAATTACCGCAGACCGCTGACTAAAGTATCCCTCTGTGTATAGTACCCTGCAGTTCAGGGCCGAAAAATTGCAACCGGGTATTATGTCAAAATCAAATATTACGTTGTCACGTGAGAAGCAATATACAGTCAACTGCCTATAATTCGACCCCCTCGGGTCCGGGGTCACCGTTCGAATTATCGTGATAGTCGAATTATCGA